ACTGATATGCCTGATAGGCATCCCAATGGCCAGCTATAGTAGTGCATACAGTGGGCTGACAATACATTTAGCAAGGCCTAAAGTTGACAGCCTGCAACTGGAAATGCTGCTACTGACAGGATCTCCGGGTAAGAAATGTTGCAAATACAGCAAAAGCTATATATAGTAAGGCTTGATGCCAAGCATAGTCAACACTACAGTAGGTGTTTGGTTTGCCTATTTTTGGTTTGCATACACTTTATGAATTAAGTGTTTGGATCAGGTTAAGTGATAAGTTTCAATATCAGGTTAAGTTGCTGCGGAAGGTTAAGTGTCAATTTGAGGGGATAATATTGAGTTTTATGGTTTTAATGAAGGTTGACCACGACCCTTATAAAGAAATATCTTGAGAAAAATATAGGGACTGCCATTGCTGACCTTCTTTTGAATATGCTAGTTATCTGGTTGTTATGTTGAACCACTGGATTCAGTACATTAGTCATACTTTAAAGGTAAATGAGAGAGAGTCAAACATCCTTATCTGCATACTTGTTTTGGGTTAGCGGCTATATTTATTGAAGACAGAGGTTCGGCATGGCAGCCAGGCAACTAGCATCAGCAATGAAAAACTCCAGGTTTCTCTCTGGAAAGGTTTTCTTTAAGCATTAGGTCAGCGTTGGATTCAAGGACCAAAAACATGTTATGGCTCCTAAGTGCCACAAAACTATATGGAGCGGAGCCTACCCTGATTGTGTTTGGGTTTGCCGGAGAGCAGAGTCTAAGGGATCGGTAGTATTCCACAGGGACCCCCTCACAAGGTGGGGGAGTCTTTAGACTCAGTTGGGTCCTGTCCCCAGGTCGCTTGCCTGGATACTAGTAGACGCAATAGCAAGATTCAGTATGACCACCAATGGAATGAGCCAGTTAACCAGAGGGAAAAAAACTGTGGAAGGCGGTGGGCACATGGAAGAAAAATGATTGGATGCACCCAGCCATGAGGGCTTGGAAAAGCTGAGTTTGCAGGCAGAGTGTGCCATGAGAACCGACCACATGGTTTGCAGAACCTCTGAGATTAGGAGAGTTGGCATACTAGGTGTACTTGGAACAGAAGGTGAAGCGTGCCTGGTGGAGTAGCTAAACAAAAAGAGCTGATGGATGTAGCATACCCGAAGCAGAGAAGCTGGATGATGGACCGTACCAGAAACAGCAGTTGCAAAGAAGCTGACAGATGGAGTGTATGTGTAGCTGTGGCTAAAAGGAGGAGCAGACAGGTGGACCACATCAGGGGCAGTGGCTGAACTGCATGGACCAGGCACCAGAAAAGGCTCAGGGGATAAAGAGGCACAAGGGCAGACAGGTTATTAATGTAGGGGCTTGGCAACTACATGGAAAAATATTGCACAGGTGTCTGTCCATCGTGGACCAGCCCTTGAAAGATGCAGCTGAGTGCCAGTGACATAAACTTATTGACTCTGCTCACCAGGGGAGAAATGTGCATAGGCACGTGTCCTAGAAGACACATTGCACTTGTTGTAATGGTTACTTACCTGCAGAGAACTAGCAATGGCTGTTTTTCTGCACTAAAAACCAAGCTACCAGAACAATGTTTATCACATATTGACCCACTGGGGCAAGATGAATGTCAGGAGGTTTCAGAGTTCTGTCATTTTTATTTAGAGAACCAAGTAACATTATGTCAGGGACTAACAATAACACAAGTGTCAAGCCTCAAGTTTCAAGGGGAAATTTGTACAGTGCATGACTTTGCGATAGATACAGGACTTTTCATCACCTTTTCACAAGACTGCGTTACTCTGGACACATTTATACCCAGGGCAGAATCAGGGCACACCCCTGCTCCATTAATGAGTTATAAAGCTTTAAAGTAGAAGTATGACCTCTATTTAATAATAATGTGCTGCAGAAACTTCATTATGGGTGCACCTGCACTTACAGTTTAATCTTAGTTCCCCTGCAAAGTCCTTCAAATACATGCTGAACCTGCTATTAAAATCCACCTAGTGCAGCTTCCTGTAATGGCGTGGCCACAATGCTGCAGTGCTCCTGAGTTCCCGCCCTTGTGTAGCCTGGGCCTGCTTGCACTACAACGGGCACGGCTATCAGCATTGACATTGCTGACTCATAAGCATATAGCTTGTCAATCAGCACCTGGTCCCACCTAGTCCTGCCCACTGCTTTCTGGATTGACAGCACTGCCTCTGTTGCTGGAACCCCCTGACTATGAGCTGCAGTGTCTGGGAGGGGAAGTGTGTGAGACACAAATGAAGGAGGATTTGGCTCAGGCAGGAAAGGTAATGTAACATAACCTTTGTTTACTTTAGGAGGCTTGTGCATGATACAGTAACTGGACTTGCTACTTGTTTCTACTGTCATGCTGAAGCCTTTTGTTGTATTTAAAAACAGTCCTAACATAATATTTTTCCAAAAAAACAAAACAAAAGTAAAAATGGAAAAAAATGTATTTGGCAAAACTGTACATCAGAGCGTAGAAGTTCATCAGTGGTAGAATAATGTGCAGATAGGCATCCTCTATCAAATACCTTTTAAAACTCTTTATACACATTACAATCAACTCAAGATTTACCAAAACAATGCAATACAAAGACTTATCTAATCTGTATCCAATCAGGTAGATGTTTGCACTACATGTTGGTAGATTGCACAGTCAGGTTGTAACATGCGGAGAGATGATAGGAGATGTTACTCAGATGTGCTCAATGCAAATCCTTTACCTATTCTATTTTCAGATCATGGCAGCAGAGATAAAAAGAAAACATTTTGTTAAGTCCCCGCCCCCCACATACACACGCAGATATGCGTCGGGTGCGCCTACGTGCAAAAACGACAATTGCGCCTATTGTGCCGCACATGTTACATATCGCCGCAAACGTCGGAGTGAGAGCAATAATTCTAGAGCCATTAATCACTGATAACACTAAACTCATGAGCAGTAAAAGCATTTTAATCGTGGCCTATGGGCGTTTTTTGAGATTTTTGCGGGCGCACCCAATTTTAGGGCTTGACATGTTTGTCTATTTACCCGACGTGACCCCAGAATGTACACTGACCTGGTTTTGTTACTGTTTGACACCAGATCCAAAACTAAGAAAAGGAGTTGACTTTATAAAATCACATTTGTATTTGTTTATTTATTTTTTATTCACACAGGTCATCGTACAACTACACAGTGTCCGAACATACCATCACCTACAAGCCCTAAAAATATAAACCCCATTCCCCGGAACAGAGACAGTAAGAAATACTTTTTTTTATCATGCAAACGTATGAAATGGGCAACCTGCAGAACTATCTCCAAGTATTTAAAGGAGATGTATTGGGAGAGTAAATTATACTCTTCCCAATACTTAGAGACGGCATGTGACAGCTGCATTGTC